GCAATAAAAGGAGGACAAAGGATAATCTCCATCCTTTATTAGATGGGGGCAGAAACATGGTGACAAATGATGAGGTATTTCACGCCGCCTTTGCCTCAATCTTTAGCAGCAAGACCAGTTGTTCCCTGAGTACCCAGCCCCCTGAGCTAGTAGACAGGGATGGGGAGCAGAATGAAGCCCCTGTAATTCAAGGAGGAATAGTGAGGGACTTGCTACAGCACTTAGACATGCACAGGTCTATGGGGCTGGATGGGATCCACCCCAGGGTGCTGAGGGAGCTGGTGGAGGTGCTCACCAAACCACTTTCCATTGTTTATCAGCAGTCCTGGCTACCTGGGAGGTTCCCAGGTGAGTGGAAGTTAGCAAATGTGATGCCCATCCACAAGAAGTTCTGGAAGGAGGATCCAGGGAAGTACAGGCCAGTCAGTCTGACCTCAGTGCCGGGGAAGGGTATGGAGCCAATTGTCCTGAGTGCCATTACACAGCACATGCAGGACAACCAGGTGATCAGCATGGATTCATAAAAGGCAGGTCCTGCTTGGGAAACCTCATTTCCTTCTATGCCAAGGTGACCTGCTTAGTGGATGAAGGAAAGGCTGTGGATGTTGTTTACCTGGGCTTTAGTAAAGCCTTCAACACCGTTTCCCACAGCATTCTCCTGGAGAAACTGGCTGCTCATGGCTTGGATAGGTGTACTCCACTGGGTAAAAAACTGGCTGGGTGGCCGGGCCCAAAGAGGGGTGGTGAAGGGAGTTAAATCCAGTTGGCAGCCAGTCACAAGTGATGTTCCCCACAGCTCGGTACTGGGGTCTGTTCTGTTTAATATCTTTATTAACAACCTGAACAAGGGAATTGAGTGCACCCTCAGTAAGTTTGCAGGTGATGCCACGTTAGGCAGGTGCGTCGACCTGCTGGAGGATAGGATGGTCCTACAGAGGGATCTGAATAGGCTGGATCAATGGGCCAAGGCCAATGGTATGAGGTTCAACAAGGCCAAGCGTCAGGTCCTGCACTGGTGTCACAACAAGCCCATGCAGCGCTACAGGCTTGGGGGAGAGTGGCTGGAAAGCTGCCCGGCAGAAAAGGACCTGGGGGTGTTGGTCAACAGCCGGCTGAACATGAGTCAGCAGTGTGCCCAAGTGGCCAAGAAGGCCACCAGCATCCTGGCCTGTATCAGGAATAGTGTGGCCAGCAGGACGAGGGAAACAATCGTCCCCCTGTACTCGGCACTGGTGAGGCCCCACCTCGAGTACTGTGCTCAGTTTTGGGTCCCTCACTACAAGACAGACATCGAGGTGCTGGAGCATGTCCAGAGAAGGGCAACAGAGCTGGTGAGGGATCTGGAGCACACGTCTGATGAGGGAACTGGGGGTTCCGGAGAAACAGAGGCTGAGGGAGACCTTATCACTCTCTACAGGAGGTAGACAGGAGGTTGTAGTGAGGTGGTGGCTGGTCTCTTCTCCCAAGTAACAGGCAATAGGACAAGAGGAAACAGCCTCATGTTGTGCCAGAGGAGGTTTAGGATGGATATTAGGAAAAATTACTCCACTGAAAGGGTTATCAAACATTGGATCAGGCTGCCCGGGGAAGTGGTGGAATCGCCATCCCTGGAGGTATTTAAAAGATGCGTAGACATGGTGCTGAAGGACATGGTTTAGTGGTGGCCTTGGCAGTGTTACATTGACGGTTGGACTCGAAGATCTTTAAAGGTCCCTTTGAACCTAGATGATTCTGTGATTCTAAATGAACACTTGGCATTTCCACAGGTTGCATTCTTGGTACAGCAATTATCACATGATAAAAGCTGATAGAAATATGGTGTCAGTTGTAGATGACTGAGAAAGTTCTTACTGCCGTTGCGACAATACTGCACTGTTCATCCTAAGTTGTCAGAAATCCTTGATTTAAAAATTATGAGATCAGAAGATCGATGGCATAGCTGACATACTCAGGATACTTCACAGAGTACCTATCTTCAAATGCTTAATTAAGTCATCATAATAGCTATCTCTGTATCTTAATCTAAATATATATACATGGACTCCTAATGTCAGGCATACTAATTCCAGTTATTAATATTTCTAAGTACTTGAGTTTGGGGCTTTGCTATCTAAGGGCAGTGGCAGGTTTTTAAGACCAATGCCCATTCCCTGTGAAACAAATATAACAGGCATTCTCCTGAGCACTATAGGGGCTCTCTGTTCTTCCCAAATAAGCCAAGAGGGCAAACCACATCGTGGGGTGCATTAAAGACAGCACAACCAGCCGGTTAAAAGAAGGGATCATCCCGCTGTATTCTGCATTGGTGCAGCCTCACCTAGAGCACTGTGGGCAGTTCTGGGCCCCACCATTTAAGAAGGATGTGAAGGTTCTTGAATGCATCCAGAGGAGGGCAACACAGCTGGTGACAGGGCTGGAAGGCATGTCCTATGAGGAGTGACAGAGGACTCAGGGTTTGTCTGGTTTGGAAAAAAAGAGTCTGAAGGGCCACCTCATGGCTCTCTGCAGCTTCCTGAGGAGAGGATGGGGAGAGGGAGGTGCTGAGCTCTTCTCCCTGGGATCCAGGGACAGGATGCATGGGAATGGCTCTTAGGCGGTACACAGGCATTTCTCCCCTTCTCACACTTTCCGTTACTATGAAAACTTCACCTGTGAACATCTGTTCATAAACTGTCTCAAATCTCTCCTTTGTTCTAGACACCCTGACATGGGCTCCCTTTCGGAGCAGAGGCGCAGATTCTTTAGTTTGAAACACAGCCCCATCTCTGGTTTTCCAAAGCCTTGCCAAGTCTGAAGTGTTCACATCCACAGGCCTGGCTCTGACAGCTCTTTATAAACTTTGACAGCACATCAATATAACAAAAGGTGCGGGCTGTAAAATAGCTCAATGTCTTCATTTTGAACATCCTGTTTAGACACTCCCTGACGGAGGATTTTGCTTCATTATTAGTAACAAAATGGTGAACATTACTCTGCTTTACCAGCTTCTTTTAAGTCTGGAGCAGAGAGGCAGCAGCTCTGCCAACAAACCCTCATGTCTGCCTCCTTTACGCTGGGCACCACCTGCAGGAGCTCGTCAGCATCTCCAGGCTGGATGGGGCTCTGAGCAACCTGATCTAGTAGATGTCCCTGCTTATTGCAGGGAGGTTGGACTAGGTGGCCTTTAAAGGTCTCTTCCAACCCAAACAATTCTACAATTCTACGATCTTTGGGGAGCACATCATCATCAACCTCAATGCCGCCTAGGAGAAGTTTAGGGACAAGTGCCTGGGCACCAAGCGTGGGGGTGAGCCGAGAGGGTTAGGGAAAGGTGACTCAGGATCCTGAGTCACTGAGCCAACTCCATGGAGGGCACAGACACCATCGATATTTTGGAGCAACCTTTTCCTCTTCTAGATTTGTCTGGTAGCATCAGCAAGCCCAGGATGGCAGGCTACAAGTCTGGGGAGTACAAAATTGTGAGGCCTGGGGTAACCTGGCAGCTCCCCCCGCCCTGTGTGACTCCTAAGCCCTTGCACAGAGCTGGCAGGTGACCCTGGCAGCAGGCCTGTGCACAGGGGCGTGGGTGGCACTGGGCCACGCACGGGACAAGCCTTCTAAGCTTTTGTCTTGCTCCCTTCTCCTTCTCACCTTGCTCTGGCCACCTCACCACCACTGTCTCCAACCCAACTGGACAGCCCGCTTGAGGAGAGACTGGTGAGCCTCGAGCCCTGCATGAGCAAGGTGAGAGGCTGGAGGGGACACTGGGGACAGTGGCCCAGTGTGACCAGGGACATTTGGGGAGGGACACTGGCAGTTTTTGCCTCCTTCCCAGCCATGAAGTTTGTTCTTGTGCAGTTCGGGCAGGTCCTGGACACAGTGCAGGTAGTAGCTGATGCTCTCAGAGAACGCTGTGTTGATCACAGAGGTGGGTGCAACCAGCACTCACTGGGATGGATGGGATCCCCACCCTGCCCCCCCACCTCCCATTCCCCCTCCTTCCCCCCTCAACCTCCTCACAGACCGAATGATGGACACCCTGCCCATCGTAGAAAACAAATTAGCTGACACAGAAGCATGCATAAAGGGGATGCAGAAGCAAGATCACGCTGGAGAACC